AACCTTTAACCAACAAGATGAACAAAACATAATGAATAAAACTATACGGTATCACCCTTCATGCTTTTATTCTCAGCCTCACCATGGAAAAGTAATAATGACATGGCATCACCCTTCGTGCTTTTACTCTCAATTTTATCATGAAACAATAGATATGGCATGACATAATCCTTCGTGCATTAACTCACAATATGGCACAACATCACCCTTCGCGCATTAACACTAAATTATGGCACGACATCATCTTTCGTGCATTAATACTAAATTATGGTATGGCATCACACTTCGTGCATTAACACTCAATTATGACACAACATCACCCTTCATGCATTAACTCACAAATATGGCACGGCATCAGCATTAGTGCATTAAAACTCTTCCTTACTATGTAATAATCAACATATAGCAAAAGGGAAATAGAATAAGCAATAACAGACCTTACGTCAATAGTGGTTCCATAATGCCAACCTCAACTTCAGAAACAATACTCAATTATCACAGATGGCTCATAAATGTGGAGAGAACATTCAATTTAGTAATTACTAGTCTAAACATGGATAGCATGATCAAAGAAAGAAATAAATTACAAGAAACAAGTCTCATCCACATGCTTTGACCAACAACAACGCATACGTGCTCGTCACCTCATATATACGTTGTACCTAACAATTAGACATGTAGCAAATAGACAAATAAGTCCTAATCCCTCAACTCAAGGTTAACCACGACACTTAACTCGCTCCAAAAAACCAACTCAAAGCTCAAACACGGCTTTGCCTTTTGAACAAGCCTCTGAACCAACCAAATCTAGCAATTTATCAACCAAATGATTCAAAATAAGCCTTAGAAACTACCCACAAATAAAAAAGGTTCAATTTAGGTCATTATTGAAAAATTCAACAAAAGTCAATTCCCGAGCCCGCTTGGTCCAAACTCGAAATTTGGACCAAAACCCGATTACCCATTTACCCCCTGAACTCGGTTATATAATTTGTTTTGAAATCCGACCTCAATTTGAGGTCTAAATTTCAATTTTACAAAAATCCATAATTCTTCCGAAACCCCCAATTTTCACCATGAAAATCCTAGATTTTAGGTTGAAATCTTGTGAAAATGTAATGGAAGATTGAAAGAAAATAGGTTAGAATCACTTACCAATGAATTGGGGAAGAAGTGCTCATGGGAAAATTGCCTCTAGGGTTCTCTAGGTTTGAAAATTTGAAAGAATGAGAGAATTCTCGTCTATCTCAGCTTTTGACCACGCGTAGATGTCTCAATTGCGGCCAGTGGTTTGCAATTGCGAACCCCGTAAATGCAAAAATTTCTTTTCAAATGCGAAGTCCCAACATTTCTGCTATCATCGCATTTGCGATGATTTATTTGCAAATGCGACCCAAATGATCACAAATGCGACTAAGCCCCCCCTCCCCCGTCCCATAAATCCCAACATTTCNCGGTCCCACTTTGCAAAAGCGAAGACTTGTTCGCAGATGCGAACCTGAGGTGCCCAGATACTCTTCGCAAATGCGAGGAAATATCTCACAAATACGAATCTGACAGGGATTCTGCCATATCACAAATGTGAAGCCTAACCTCGTAATTGCAAGGTCCGAGGCTTGCACCAGAAACTGAAGAACACCAGTTATTTTTCTAAGTCCAAACTCACTCTGTGGCCTTTCCGAAACTCACCCGAGCCCTCGGGGCTCCAAACAAAATATGCACACAAGTCCAAAAATATCTTACGAACTTGATCGCACGAACAAATCGCCAAAATAACACCTGGAACTATGAATCAGACACCGAATCAAATGAAATTTTCAAGAAGACTTTAGAACTTGTAATTTAACCACCAGACGTCCGAATCATGTCAAACCAACTCCGTTTTTCACCAAATTTGACAGACAAGTCATAAATATAGTAACGAACCTATACCAAGTTCCAAAACCAAAATACGGACCTAGTATCGACAAAGTCAAATATTGGTCAAACCTTTAGATTCATTAAGCCTTTAAACTTCAAAATTTCGATAAAAAGCGATAACTCGAGCTAGGGACTTCCAAATATGATTCTCGGCATAGGCCCAAGTCCCAAATCACAATACGGACCTACCGGGACCATCAAAATACAGGTCCGGATCAGTTTACTCAAAATGTTGATTGAAATCAATTCAAATGGATTTCTAAGGCAAAATTTCATATTTTTATCAATTTTTAATATAAAAGCCTTCCGTAAAAGATAATCGGGTTGCACATGCAAATCGAGGAAGGCTTAAAGAAGCTATTGGAGGCTTCAAAACACAGAATTAGGGTTTAAAACTCTAGATGACCTATCGGGTCATAACAAGCATCCTGTTGAGACAATGAGGATTGTCGCCTTTTATAAAGAGAAGCTCGTTCATCAGTCAATTCATCATCATCATCATCATCATTAATCATCACGGTTTTTATGACCTGCTCGGAAGGAGAACAAGTCACCATCACTACCGGAGATGATTTAGGGGCATCAGTCTTTGACCTCTTATTCTTTTCCCCGATCACAAAAAAACTTCTTCTCATTGGTTGTTTGTCCTCCGGTTGGGCACTCCGTAAAGAAGTGTTCACGCTCGAAGCAGGCCCAGAGATGCCTATTCAAATAAGTGCCTTCTGAAGCAGCCTCGCTACATCAGCAGGATCAGCAAAGACATCCTCATAGGGGACAACAACCGAGCCCGCAGGTAGACCTAATTTCATGAACAAGTCAAAAGGGTTCAACCAAGTACTTCACATAAAAAATGGAGGCAAAGTAAGTTAAAATTACCATGATTGTTGGCCTTCCACCCCTACTTAAGGGCCAGTTCTTTCCACAAACGAGTTTCAGGCGTCGTAACGTCCATGATTTTCTGAACCCACTGATCCAAGCCTTCCACCACCGGTGGAGTCCATCGAGTTGCTAAAACATACGAAGGGTGAAGAATCAATACGACCATGGAAGAATAATTAGTGAAAGAAAATATACTAAATGGAGGTCTTACCAGTACGGTTCCAAGTGACCAGAAAGGATTAAGCCATTGACTGAATGATATTATTGGTGGCAACTGCAACGAACCGTTCCATCCACCCACGATCATTATCATCATCCATGCTAGTCAATAGAGCATGGTGCCCGTATTTTCAGAGGAGTAAAGGTTCATCATACGAGCTAATGTTAGATCTTCTCCAGTCTCCTGGCACAAGTGTCGAAGGCAGGCAACCGTCCTCCATACTGAAGGACTTACCTGTGCCAAGCACACTTGGTAGCGAGGCAAAACTTCGCAATTACGGAATCAAGCTCTCCACTCAAAGAAAACACACCTAAAGTAAAGGGATATGTATAAAATATGTAAATTCTTCCCTGGGAAGGGTCACTCGCTATGATAGATCAGGAGCAATGACGTCCAACTCATGGCAGCGACAGTCTTCCTTCACAGTAGGAATACTGGAAGGACGAATGGAATAAGGATATCTACTAATAGCCCATGTACGAGGGTTAGCAGTAGGGAATTTCTCTTTAAAATCCTTTGTGGTTCTGAGTCTTCTTGGGATGATGGAACCCACCGTTGGAGGAGCAGAGTCCTCGGCCTTGTTCTTGTTCTTTGAAGAACCAATGCGTTTGGAAGAAGAAGCCATTAAATAAGAAGAAGGAAAATAGTTTTTGTTTGGAAAGAATTAGAAAAAAGATGGAGAATAAAAGATACAAATCAGAAGGGAAGAAATATGAAGTGCATAGGAGAAGGTTGATGCGTGCAAGTAAAATTTTGGCGGCAAAATTCATGGCCATGATTACCTTGATAATCGGCAAAAAATATGCTGAATCATGGGATGACGCATGTTTGGGGCATTAAATGCAGAGAGATGTGAGTCTAATCAACCGTCAGAAGCTTTCAAAGGGATTTATAATAATTCTCGCCAAAAGAGTGTTTCTACCAACTTTCCGGTAACACAAAATTATGTCACCGGAAAGTAGGGAGACTATCTGTATAGGGTAAAATACAATATGACACGTGGTCATCTGAAGGAACACGTAAAACCCAAGACGGAGATGGCCACCGAACACAGTTATTCCGCTTATCACCGGAAGGAATAACGATCATAAAGGTGTATTAAATGCTCTGCGTCCGGTAGCATTTAATAAAAAATATTTTGCATCATTAAGGGCGACTGCCCGTTACAAGAAATTTGGCATTTATATCCACCGTTATATCTTCATCAATGACTCTCATAATTGATATTAAAGGAGGGAACGATCCTAGGACCTCCTTCCCTAGACCCAACTATAAATAGAGAGCTCAGTTATCTTTGTAAAAGACACGAATTCTCTGACTAACTTATATTACATTCTATACAGAACTTAAATACAATTTAACTTTCTCGCTTTTTGATCTCATCATTATTGTGCCCGGAAACCTTGTTCCCCGATTCATCAACTCTGCTATTTCATCTACATTTTAAGACTAAGTATTATATATTTCTTTCGTTATTTCTTTATTTTAGGATCAAATTAGTTTGCTTGTCTAGAAACCAGAAACAAATTCATGAACTGTGTTTTACGGGTAAACAGCAATGTGAGATGCAGCTTGCCATGGCTGCCGGCCTGATCCAGGTCTAGCGGTAAGTAAACATAATAATTTCAAAAGAATCTATTTAAAATTAATCAATCGTCGACTTGGCTGAAGTAATTAAGCCAAAGTCATTTTATAATCAAGTCATTCCCGTCATTAGCGATGTGGGGTCGTGGAGTATTCAGCCAATAACCGGCCCTAAGCGACCAAAATATTCAATAAATAATAGTAATAATATGTGTTAATTAATGACACTAGCTCCATGTTATCTATCTGGACTGGCACCGGTTTTTTGGGTTTCAGCCTCTCACGTTATCTTATGAAGGAGATAAAACACAATATAGAACTTCTCAAGGATCTCTTGTACTGGTAAACTAATACAAACAAGAAGAGTCTCAAGGAAATTAAAGTACCAATGAAACTACCTTAACATTGAACGGCCAGAGCTGAGAGCCCACAGAGTAATGGAATCACCTTGCAAATATTTTTATGGGCTACCAACTGTACAGACTTGTTAAAATTGTCTCTCGATGCATTAAAAATTATACTGTATTACAGAAAGACCGTTTAAATAATTTCGAATGCGAGTCAACTTTTTAAAAAAAAAGAGAGAGAGAGAAACTATTCGGCTACATGACACTTCATCCTTTATATACAGCTAGCAGGGGTAAAGTGAAGGTCTCATCACTACAAGCTGAAAACACTATCCTCTGAAAAATTATCTTTTTCAGATACGTTCTTGTTTATCCAAGAAAGAGAGATGGCAGATGCAGTGGTGGACTTTCTGGTGGAGAACCTGTTGCAGCTATTAAGTGAAAATGTGGAGCTGATTGCAGGTGTTGAGGGAGACTTTAAAAATCTGCTGGAAGAAGTTCAACGCCTAAAAGCCTTCCTTGACGATGCTGCAAAATACCACAGTGACGGAACTCAGTGGAAACTACTGGGGGAGGAGATTCAGAAAACGGTGCATAGAGCTGAGAATGCCATTGATAAGTTCCTTGTTCAGGCGAAGCTTCACCAAGAGAAAAGTAAAATGGGAAGGTTGCTGGACGTGGCCCATCTGGCTACAGTCAGGAATCTTGCAGCTGAGATCAAAGGCATCCATGAGCAAGTGAAGGAACTTCGCGAAAACAATCAACAAGCTTTTCAGCCCAAAGCATTTAATGAACTGCCTAAAATAGGCGCCTCGGAAGCGACGCCGGTATGCCTGAAACTCAAAAGCAGCTACTTTTCTTCTTCTGTATATCACAAACCAAAAATAGATGAGCTTGTTGTAATAATAATAATAATGAGCAATTCATTTTTTAGAATAATGATGAAAAATAAATAAGAAACACTCCCTATTATGTTAACACTTGTCTCTCTATTTCAGCTTGCACAACTTAATTTTACATGTATATATTTTCTGATTCTTATCGGCTTCATATATTAAAAATAATACCTGCAAGACTCGAGAGTAAAGATTCAGACAAACTGTTTTATATAAACTGTGTGTCTATTTCTTTGCACAAAAAATATTAAGAAATAGACATCACCAAAAACCAGCACCGCTTCTTTACCGGCGGAATCCACCACCGCTACTCCGCCATCCATCTTCACTCATCGCTGTACACCACCAAAAACCAGCAGCCGCCGCTAACATGAGAACAAACCACCGTTAACCTTATGGCAACAGAGCCCCCACCAGACCAAAAAAGATCTGACCCATTCTTCTTGGAAGCCAATATCGTCCCTCAATCTTCCTCCACGGTCCACCTATTATTGGGAATAAACCCCTTACCAAAATAATATTCACGGTAATAAAGCGGAATAATAATGTAGCACCGAGATATGGTAATTAACAAGAATAAAAGAGTAACAATGACACCAAGATTTTTACGTGGAAAACCCTTATGAATAAGGGAAAAAACCACGACCCCGAGAGGAGCAACTGATATCACTATAGTAAGGAATTTTACACTTTGTAGGTCGGAGATAAATACTCCAAAGACCACTACAACACTCAAAAGAAATAACCCTCTTTTGATATTCCCACCTCACTACAATATCGCTCACTCTCTATTTTCCTCACAGACTATTTTCTTATACCTTGTCTGTGAAACCTCACTCTTTCTTTCTCTCTTTGTTGGTGTGAAGAAATGAGAGTTGAAGCTCTCCTTTTATAGCCAAAGCTTCACCCTCTAAAGCCTACAATATTTGACAATTTACACACACTTTTCACAATTCAACAAAGTTGGCTACCAAACCAAAGAAATTCAACAAGGTTGGCTACCAAACCAGACTAATTCAACAAGGTTGACTACCAACCAAACCAAGTCAACAAGGTTGGCTACCAAACCAAAGAAAACTCTTATTAGGCACATGCCTAATGCTTCTTCAATGAGATGGACATCATCACCTAATACTTCTTCAATGAGATGGACATCATTACCTATTACCATTTCACGCACTCCATCAAAACCAAAATAACACATCTTCCCCCAAATTTTTTATGAAAATGGGTTTTTTACTGCAGAAGTTTGTTAGCAGTAAGTAGGAATATGCCTACTTTCCAACTCCTTTACAATGCAATCCTCACAGTTAATCTCGTCATCCGCTCAAACTTTCTCAACACAAATCTTTGAAAATTATACCCATCTCAATACTCCACATTTATTTGCTGCTTCTAAATTCTTACAACCACCAAAATTATAGCTAAATCTTGAGTATCTACACCTTAACTTGCAATCAAAAGCATCAATGGAAGTGAATACTTATTAAGAAGAGGAAAGAGGGGAAAGAAGAAAATGGAAGAAGAGGAAAAAATAGATTAAGAAAAATCCTAATCGTTGAGCGGGGGTAATTGACTCATTCTATACTAAAAATAATTTTCAGGAAATCCTTTTATAATCCGGATTCTTATTTCTGAACGATATTCCACGATCAGGACAATTGGCTGAATCCTGTAAAACTATTTCATAGAGTTCATTGATATCTTCTTTATTTAAAGCAAATTGACTTCGATTCTTGAATAATTCACGTCACTTCTGCTTCTATTGGAACACAAGATTCCCCTTTTTTGTGGGAAAGACCCATATCAATAATTTCGATTTTACGCATGGACAAGCAAATTTCTACCAACAAAGAAAAAAGTAATAAACTGAATAAGAAATTTTTAAATCAACTTGAAGTTTTAGAAAAGAAATCTTTTTCTCTCGATATACTCAAAAAGAAAATTATTCCTAAAAAATAGCAGATGAAATAGAAGGCGCCTCCTTTCACAACTATTTAGATTTTCTATCGGGCTCTCCAATCTAATTCAAGGTCCAATCATTATCAATGCATTAATTAATAATAGAAAATTTATTAGGATAAAACAATTAAATTTGTAATTGTAGGCTAAAAGGAACATATCAATCCGAAAAATAGCCGGGTATTTAATTTGATCTTCCGATGAGTCTTTTATCTGTCGAGTTTCTAACTTCTTGATCTACATTCCAACTATTGTCCTCTTCTGATAATACACGTGTTAAGACCGTGTGTTTACCAATACACAAACATGATGTAATTACAACAATAATATATTTAGTACGAGTAAATTGATATGACACAAAATAATATGATTTAATTTGGGATGATCACTATATAATAGAAGTCCTATACACAATTATAATGCTTTTGCATATACTTCTAAAATCGATTACTTAGCTTTAATTCCTTATATTGTCATAATTCTACACATAAAAAATTATATTATTCTGTTATACATGGATTCAGTGATTGATTTTGAAAGTTCAGTATATACACTACAAGTAAGTAAATTAGAATAAAATAGTGAATAATCAAAACATAAAAAAAAGAGAAATTTCTAAAATTGTAAGCAAATATATTATTACCCCCATTTGATACGTCTTATCAAATAATTTGGGCTCATTTTCTATTTAAGAGTTTTGAAAGATGCATATTTGGTATATATCAATTGGATCAGCATTTCGCTTTAAGGTTTTGTTCTTTATATATATATACACGAAGTATATACACTACAACTAAGTTAATTAGAATAAAATTAAGCGCATAATGAAAAAAAAAAGTTTAAATAAAAATGAGAAAATTTTGAAATTAACTAGTGGTTTCAGTAGAATTTTTACCGTTGTACTTGCAAAAAATTAAGATGACTCGCTTTGCTTTCTGATGCGTTCCATTCATTATCTTCAACAGGGTCCTTTATGGGAGGATGATGGAGTGGTCGGCTTTGATGAGGAAGCGAACAAACTGATCAAGCGACTTGTTAAAGAATCAAAGGATCTAGATATTATTCCAGTGGTGGGTATGCCGGGACTTGGAAAAACCACACTTGCAAGAAAAATCTACAATGATTATCAGCTTTCATATGAATTTTTCAGCATCCTTTGAGTTTATGTCGGCCAGGATTACAAAATAAAGAATATTTATCTTAATATTCTCAGATTCTTCACGAAACGGATCGAAGAATATCAAAATGAGGATGTGGACGAATTAGCTAATGTAATATCTGGTTTTACAAGTAAAGGAGGTAGATGTCTCATTTTTTTAGATGATGTGTGGGAAACAGCAGTCATTGATGTTGTAACGAAAGTTTTTCCAGAAAACGGAAAGGGGCATCGAGTCATGATGACGACGCGTGGCAATTGTCTGGCTAGCTATGCGAATCCAAATCCTCATAGTCTGAAATTTTTGACTTCAGACGAAAGTTTTGAATTGTTGGTAGCGAGAGTTTTTGGCAAGGGAATTTGTCCTAATGAGTTAGTAGGACTTGGAAAAAGCATTGCACGAAAATGTGAGGGTGTACCATTTGCAGTAGTGGTAATTGCAGGAGCATTAAGATCGGTCATCCGAACACAAGTGATTGGATAAGAGTTGAGAAAAATATGGTTCAGCATCTTTATATGAATAGAGAAGAAAGCTGCTATAAATGTGTGGAGATGAGTTATGATCGTTTGCCCCACGAAGTAGAGACGTGCTTCTTATACTGTGGTGTCTTTCCTCGAGGATTTGATATTCCTTCTTGGAAAGTGATCTGCTTATGGATAGCGGAGGGGTTAATAAAGCACCAGGACACATATACTCTTGAGGAGATAGCGGAGTTTTATTTGAACGATCTTATTAGTAGAAATTTACTGATATTGCAACAGAGGAGGTTTGATGGTCAAATTAAAACATGTCGTCTTCACGACATGTTGCATCATTTCTGCAGAACAGAGGCTGGTAACAAATGGCTTTTCCAGGAAATACGTCTAACATCCGATCAAGTTATTCCTTCCATACAAGACCAAGATACTCATCGTCGATTGTGCATTCAACCCTCTATTCTGAATGACTTCCTCTCCAAAAGACCTTTTGCAGAACATGTGAGATCATTCTATTGTTTTTCCTCAAAACAATCAAAAAAGATCGAGTTGTCTCCTAACATCCTAGTCATCCCCAAAGCTTTTCCCCTAATTAGGGTCATGGACATTGAATCCCTCGAATTTAGTTTCTCTAGGAATTTTAGCCATCTAATTCATTTGCGGTATATTGCTATCTCTGGTGATTTCAGAGATCTTCCTGAACCCTTTGGTATATTCTGGAATTTACAAACTCTTATACTTAATACAAGTACCTTAGAGCCCACCCTTGAGGTAAAAGCAGATATATGGAACATGTTACAGTTGAGGCATCTCCATATCAACATACCTGCAATTTTGCCACCTCCTCTCCCATCAGGAAAAGCTTTTTGCCTACAAACTCTTTCTGTGGTTACACCAGAAAGTTGCAAGAAAGATGTGCTTGCAAAGGCTTGTCAAATCAGAAAATTGAGCATTCGAGGGAAAATGGCGGGTTTTCTTGAAACTAAGGGTGAAATCAACAATCTTCAAGAGCTAAAGTGCCTGGAACATCTGAAACTGTTGAATGATGTTCTTTACATGAATGACGTGCTTCATCTCCCTCCAACATTCTCCCAACTTGTACGTACATTGAGGAAGTTAACTTTGGCAAACACAAGATTTGCTTGGAGAGAGGCGGATAGATTGGGCCAATTGGAATCCCTTAAGGTTTTAAAGTTGAAAGAAAATGCATTCACCGGTTATTCCTGGAAGCCAAAGAATGGATTTAGTGCACTCCAGGTCTTGTGGATTGAAAGGGCAGAATTTAAAACTTGGGAGGCTTCGGAGCTTAACTTCCCCGTGCTTAGGAACCTTGTTCTTATCTCCTGTGATAAGCTCGAAGCTGTGCCGCTTGAGCTTGCTAATATACCTAACCTTCATGAGATGCGGCTGGAGAACACAAGCAACGCGGTCAAATCTGCAAAAGATATACTGGAAAGCAAGATAGCTAAAGGCATCAAATTCAACCTTACCATATTCCCTCCTGAAGCTGGATCCAAGGCCACACAGTAAAGGTCAGTCGAATTTATTTGTATTGATAGTCTTCACTATACTTTTGTCTGCACGACTTTATTCTTTTTCAGATGGCATACACTATCCATGACCGCGTCCGTCTCAATTAGTAAAACTGTATCTTGTGTAATTATTTGATTTTTCTGATATAGCAATAAATCCACGAAATTGCATAGTTTACCTAATTCTCCCCTTTACATTTTGAACTGCACTCTTCGACCAAGATTCAGAAAAGAAAATACCCTTCTTTTTAGTCCAACATAAATTAATCTCTTTAATAGTATACTTATATACTATATGTATTATTAGGGGTGGGCATAGTTTGGGCAAACCCGAAATCCAAATTGAAATCCGAATTTTTTGATTTTTTTGGTTTGAATTTTCGGATTACGGGTTGGATTTTGGATTTAGTTTTTAAAATTTTTAGATTTCGGATTGGATATTTTGATACTTCGAATTTTTGGTTATCCAAAAATTCGAAATTTTTATACTTTATATTTAGCCAACTATCCATATGGCAATAGCAATAAGTTCAATACCTACCCATTAGATATTATCTCATATATTCAATATTAGTTACTAAGTTAGTGTGAAATACTTTTTATTTCGACATGGCTTTACTATTTCTACTATTATCTGCCGTATTAATGTCTCTATTGTATTTTTTTTTATTTATAATAATCTCATTACTTGAATACTTCATTTGGGTGAATAAGTAACTTTTCAGGCAATTTAACATGAGTACTTCACTTGAATATTCATTTTTGTAAAAAGAAGAAATATCTCAACTTATAAACTCAAAACCGAAAATCCAAAATATCCAAACTAATTAATCCGAAATCGAACTTTAAAAATCCGATCCAATCCAAACTTATTTAGATTGGATTTGGATTGTTTTTTCTTCAATCCGAAAACTGAAAATTCAAACCGAAATTTGTATAAGCAATCCGAACGGCCCGAATGCCCACCCCTATGGATTATTATGAATGATTTAATGGTTTCTTTAAAATCTCTCCGCAACAGTTTTCTTTTCTTTGTTTCCTGGTTTTTCATTTACTAATTTTCCTCCTTTCTACAGAATAGAATCGTGACATTGAGCTTGTTGGGAGCCTGGGGCAATGGATACGGTGTCACCACATTTCATGTTTTATGCAGTCAAAGTCATATGATAAGATTGTTCCAGTAAAGAAAACTTGCTACCTTTTGTTTATTCAAGCATTGTGATTTTTGATTTTAGTCTCAGTGTGGTTTTGGAGATATGTTAAATAAATGCACTCCGCTCTCAGCCTGAAACAAACACCTTTCCTGGGTCTGTTGCATTTCGAGTTCCTAATCATGTGGAGGGTTTTCTTTTTGAGTTGTAAAAGTACTGTTTGCATCTTTCCCATTCTGCTTTGGTTGTATTTGCTTTGTTTCCTATTCTTGTAAGACTGTTGCTTTCAGCTATCGTTGTTTTGTTGAGACATGTTATTCCAAAATTCATAGCTAGGGTTGTGACCAAACCCTAGTGTGAGTATTTAATGGGCCTTGAATTTTAGGGTTTAATTGTTTATGGGTTAGTGATATTTAGCTTGATTCATACTTTAATTGTAAAATTGGTAGTTGCAAACACTGATTCGTGCCTTTATGACTTAGACTCTTCTTGAGAAAGAGGGACTAAGTTCCAAATAAAGAGATTGATAGCCCCAATTAAAGGGTTAAACCTAGAGATAGTAATACCTGACTTGAGCCAATATTATTTGTTAGGCATGAACACTCATTTGGACTTGAGAAAGCCAAATTGGACAAAGTCACTCAAACTACCGAGAGATATAGAATGAGCACTTATGTGTGATGATTATATCACGACCCCAATCATACCAAGACCTAGGCGGAAGTCACTATCTTAGTCCTTTTTAATTCTTGAAGACAACCAACAAAAATATTTTACTTAGCTTTAACTATTGCATGTTAAAGAATAGAAGTAGAAGTAGAAAACAAACCAACCATTTGTGGAAGTACAATTAAGAGCAAAACTCGCATCTCTACTCGGATATAAACCTAACTCTAAACTAATTAACTCCATGTGGATTTGATCCCGACCTTTATTTGGTAGAACAACATCGACCATCCTTGCTACTCTATAGCAGTGCAGGTTTGGAACCGATCACGATGCAAGCTATTTTGTTCGCGACAAAGCATGGTATGTGAGGGAAATTTTGCGCGTTAGAGCATGCGACGCGAAGCCTAAAGCGAGGTGAGACGCACGTTTTGCCTCGTGCTACTAGCGAGGGTGTTCTAGGTTTTAAAAGCCTATTTTGTATCCTATTTGGTTTTGGATTTGGATATTTTGTTTGGGTCTTTTCCGTACACATATAAATAGTCATTAAACACCATTTTTTAGAGGAGTTTTTTGCGATCGGAGGCAAGAACGTCATGTGGACAACTTTTGGAGGAGAAAATCATAGAGTTCTTCATCCCTTTATCTTTTCTTTGTAATTTGTTTATGCAAAATACTAGGAAAATTGTTACTACGAACATAAGTGGCTAAGCACTGTACGTTGTGGGGTTGTGATTGACATGATTATTAACGTTTATTAATTACATCTTCGTTAATTCGGATTATCATCTTGTGGTTGTTTCTTTAATTCCAGTTTCAATTTGTGAATTGTTGTAGCTACCAATTCACAGTACTATCTATGTTATGCTTGGGAAAGCCGTGTATAAATTAGAGTAGAATTAGAGAGAGCTTGTTTCTGAACCCGTGGCTCGGGAAAAGATTTCGCGGTTAGGATAAAATATACCTAACAGTTTTGCTTAATTAAATACCTAATATATTCGTTCATGATAGACTCAATACCATAGGAATATACGATTGATATACTGTGGGCAGGCGAGTAGTATTGTGGGAACATGCTATTCATATAAACTGTCACTACCCAAAATTCCTCCGAAGGAGTATTGATGGCACCTAGTCTCTAAACTAGGTAAGCCTAGCATTTACTAAAATAACATTAGCATTTACTGACTTCAACTTAAATAACTCTCAATAAATCACAATTCCCCAAAATCGATGGTACAAGTTATAAGCCTTTTTAAGAGTAGTTATATAAAATAAATACAACACTGTTCCAGAACGAGAAGGAATCAATGGAACGTAAATACAAACGAAGGTGACTCCGAGGCCTACGAACGCAGCAATAGGTTATCGTTAGTCTCCACCGCAACCATCCGCACAACTACTATCGATCAATACCTAGATTTGTACACAAAAATGTATAGAAGTGTAGTATGAGCACATCACGGCAGTGCCCAGTAAGTATCAAGACTAACCTCAGTGGGTAGTGATGAGGAACAGTCAAGATACCTATTGGTCAAATGAAACGAAAAAGATATGATAGTGAAATATCGAGATAAAGATAACGAGATAATATCAACAGCGGAGAGAAATCCAAATACAAACAGTAGGAACAATAAAGGGAGAACACGGGTAGTAACGAACGATAACCAAGTAAATCAGACAACCAAGTGTAGATATGTAATTTTTGACCCGCCACGTCATCAAGTTATACTAGTATTCTCAGCATTTTAAAACATTTATTTGGTTTATTTTAAGAGGATTTAGCCTATTATTCACTTTTATTTTTACTTCAAACTTAAATTTAAAAATACAAAAATATTTTCATGTTTTATCTTATTTATATTTAGTTTAGGTTAGAAATGAGAGTGCGAAGGACGGTGTCTATTTCAGACAACCAGTTCGGGTTCATGCCGGGACGATCTACCACAGAAGCTATCCACCTTATTAGGAGGATGGTGGAACAGTACAGAGATAAGAAGAAGGATCTCCACATGGTGTTTATTGATCTGGAGAAAGCGTACGATAAGGTTCCTAGGAAGGTCTTATGGAGCTGCTTAGAGGATAAAGGGGTCCCGAGTAACTATATTAGGGTGATTAAAGACATGTATGATGGAGCTAAGACTCGGGTTAGGACAGTAGGAGGCGACTCTGAACACTTTCCAGTTATTACGGGGTTGCACCAAGGGTCTGCGCTCAGCCCATTCCTATTTGCCCTGGTGATGGATGCACTGACTCATCATATTCAAGGGGAGGTTCCATGGTGCATGCTATTTGCTGATGACATTATTCTAATTGACGAGACAAGAGGCGGCGTCAACGAGAGGCTAGAGATTTGGAGACATGCTCTTGAGTCTAAAGGTTTCAAGTTGAGTAGGACGAAGACGGAATACCTCGAGTGCAAATTTGGAGTTGAGCCGACGGAAGCGGGAGTTGAAGTGAGGCTTGACTCTCAAGTCATTCCCAAGAGAGGTAGTTTCAAGTACCTTGGATCGGTTATTCAGGGGATCGGGGAGATTGACGAGGATGTCACACACCGTATAGGGGTGGGGTGGATGAAGTGGAGGTTAGCGTCGGGAGTCTTGTGTGACAAGAAAGTGCCACCGTTACTAAAAGGTAAGTTTTATAGAGCAGTGGTTAGGCCTGCCATGTTGTATGGAACTGAATGTTGGCCGGTAAAGAACTCACACATCCAGAAGATGAAAGTAGCAGAGATGAGGATGTTTAGGTGGATGTGCGAGCATACAAGGATGGATAAGATTAGGAATAAAGATATTCGAGATAAGGTGGGTGTGGCCCCCTTAGAGGACAAGATGCGGGAAGTAAGACTCAGATGGTTTGGGCACATTCAGAGGAGGAGCACTGATGCACCGATGAGGAGGTGTGAGCGACTGGCTGTAGTGGGCATGCGGAGAGGTAGAGGAAGACCTAAGAAGTATTGGGGAGAGGTGTTCAGACAGGACATGGCGCGACTTAGGATTACTGAGGACATGACACTTGATATGGAATTATGGAGGTCGAGCATTAAGGTTGTAGGTTAGGGGAGAGTGTGAATATTTCTACAGCACAATAGAGTGAGACTATCCAGTTAGGAGTTAGACTAGGAATGTCATTGGTCGTGTATTGATGCAGGGCTTTACCTTCTAGTTGTACTATACCAGCTATCTATTTCGTATTTCGTATTTCGTATTTCGTATTTCGTATTCTGTATTTCATATTTCATATCTCTTATATATTGTTGTTATTTTTAATACACATTTTTATGGTACTAATATATCATCTCCTATTGCTTTTTGAGCCGAGGGTCTCCTGGAAACAACCTCTCTACCCTTCGGGGTAGAGGTAAGGTCTGCGTACATATTACCCTCCCCAGACCCCACTTGTGGGATTATACTGGGTCGTTGTTGTTGTTGTTGTTTTAGCCAATTAGGAGAGATTTTATGTTTTATAAGTATTTTATATTAATTTGGAAGAATTTTAGATTTATTAATAAATTTTAAGCTTTCTTGTTCAAAATTAAGCCCAATTTCGGATCCCCTCATCAGCCCAAATCAGGTAACCCACTCTCCCCTAGCCAGTGACCCACGCCTACCTGCCTGACCCACCCATTTTCTCTTTTAAATCCTAGCCTTTAACTACAACTTATCCAATGGTCCACATTAAGTCCCTTTACCATATAAAACTCTAATATTTCCCAAACTTTACCCTAATGTAACTCCATCCAAACAGGACCACTTTCAACACACCTCTACCCGCAGTTACCCACCCCTAAACCCACCGGAAAATTCATTTTTTCCAGTGTCCACGTCACATGGCCCCCCTACGGTCCCTCCGTCTACCCTTTCTCCTTCCTCCACGCGTCCCTAATCATGAAAGACACATTTTCTTCCTATTTTTCATCTTCGGATTTACCTCTTTTAGGCGAAAATAGGAAAAATGGGGTGCGTAGGATTGAGTTGCACTCGATCTACTCCCTCAATTTCTCTTATCTCACCAATAGAATAGATTTTCTGATTTTTGTTTTGAGAATTTTTGGAATTTCGTCGAGGTTTTTCGGATTTCTTGGGGAGAAAGTCTAGGGTTTTCAAAGCTGGCCTATATATTGAGACTTTTGAGGTCAGTCTTGGAGGAGAAAAAACTTGGAGAAAATTAGGGTTTGAGAAATCATCAATCCTCTTCTCTAATTTTCTTGGAGCAACCAGAAAAATATAAACGAAAAAAAAATATTCAGTTAGCCCTCTTCATTTTCGGATTCTATTTTTCAAATTTTTAGTTTTATTTAAATCTTCGAAAAATACAACAAAAAATTATTATTCTCGGTTTTGTTTTGATTCTCTTTGATGGAGATTAACAGAGACATCGTGGAATTGAAGCTGTAGTTCGAGATTTTTGCCGAGGTCGTTTTGAAGTCACTCTTTGACTGCCGATCGAGGTTTCTGTCCGGGGCTCTTGGTTTCTTTTGTTGTGTTGTTGTTCATTCTAAAATCTCGTTGTCGAATCTGTTTGTGTTTATTCTTCAGGATTAATCAAATTCTCGCCACATCAGGTTCACTTCTCTTCTTTTATTGACTATTTTGGTGTGATTGGAATATAAGGCTTGATAATTTTCTCCTTATTTACTTGTTTAG